TTTACGATTGTCATTAAAGCGGAGCGTAGAGAAATCTGAATCATAAAGTCTGAAGGAAACATGCAAGTTAAAAATAGAAAAACAAATGTGGCACTTGATGCATATACAAAACGTTACTTATTTTACCACAGGTGGTGACTTGCAGCATATCAGCTGTTTTGTGGTAATTTCTGCACATCTAACTTACTTTAGAGGCAGGAAACTTAAGCTCTTAGATTGAAGGACAGTAGGTCCTGGTTTGTACACAAATCATTACCAGGGCTAACTGTGGAATATGTGGAATTAGAAAAAATTGTTGTAACCTAATGAAGAATGGTATGCAGATGTGGTTCTAACTACGTGTTACTGTTCTAACACAATTCAGCAATCTCTTTCCTATCTTCACTTGACCAACCTAAGGACATGATCCCCAGCCAGATTATGCTATATAAATAGCTCAAACAATGAAAAAAGGCAGACATGAGAAACACCCAGAAAATAATTATGTAAAGAATGTTGATTATGCTGCAATCCCTGCTTACTTGTACTCCTTCTCTCGGTGTTTGTCTTTGGACTTCTTTTTCTTCTTGACTTTCTTATATTTTTTCACTCTTTGGTCTTCTATCTTTCGGCGTTTCTTCTCTATTTCGCTTCCGCTTCCGTCAGAGTGGGTGTATTTTCTTTTCCCGTTTCTTAGTTTTTCATTTTCCCGGGATGAATCCTCAAAATTGGAATAAGCTGACATGGATGGAAGTGCATGCCTTTCACGATAATATTTTTCGGATAGCTGCTGAGGTATGGAACAACGATTGAAGTTTGCTCTGTGGCTATTAGGTTGATACACATCTTCCTCTCTAGAGTGCATGCTCTGAGGCCATCTGTTTTTGCAGCGATAATCCTTGTATGACCTGTTGCTATAACCTTGATTTGATTTGTCAAAGTCTTTATCACAATGAGATGACTTCCTCTCTCTATCATCTCTTGTTCTGTAATGCAAGTAATAATCAGTGTAGTATCTGCACTTCTCCCACCTCCGTGGTTCTTCTTGATAGAATCTGTCTCTGGTCCAAGTTCTCTCTCCTTTAAAATTATAATACCTGTTCCTGTCTTCCATTCTTTCTCGACTTCGTGATCTGTAACGTGAATATTTTCCTGAGCTTTTGCCACTGTTTGGGGTGTTTCTTTCATTATGAGGACACCTATACTTGTTTTCACTGCAGTACTCTTCCTTATGACGGTTTTGCCTATTTGTTTCCACACTGCGACAACGCCGCCTCTTGGAATGACCATCTACTTTGTTTCTGGTTTGCTTCTCCTCCTCTTCAGTGTCCGAGTGTTGCCTCTTCTTTCGGTACTGGTCTTTGCCGGTTTTTTTAGTCTCGTATATTTTTTTCTTATCTTTTTTCCTATACTTGTCATCTTCCCATTTTTTATTACTTTCTCTAGAAAGTTGATTCTGCAAAACCTTATCAAGTTTTGTAACTGGAGAGTCTGGTGCCATGTCTACATAGTTATTAGAAATCTCCTTTGTATCTTGCAATTTATCTCTAATATTTAGAGATGCAAGCTTTTTAGAACAACATTCAATGTTTGACTTTATTAAGGAAGTTTGTCTTAATTTCTGTTCACTCACAGGAGATCCTTCGATGAATAAAGGATTTTCTTTTGAGATGAGTTGAGGTTCTTTTGATTGTCTCGGTCTGTCTTTGTCACTGTTGTCTTCAGACTGCCCAAGGAATTTCTCCAAGGATTTTTTCCTGACCTTGTGCTGACCATTGATACTGGGGTGCGCGTTATCAGCTTTTGTTTTAATACTTTCAGTAACTTCTTCTTTTGTAGAAATGCCTTCAGAATCTGACTGCGTAAAAAGATTCTCAACCTCACAGCTAAAGTTGGAAGGAACCTTCCTGGATTCTTCACAGGCAGACAGTGCATCCATTACTACAGTTTCCATAACAGCATCATTCTCAGAAAATTTCTGAGGTCCAGGGACACTGCACAAAATAAAAACCACATTTTTCACTTGAAAAAGTCCATCTAAAAGATGAAAGTTAAGAGTAAAATCCCCTTAAGTAAAAAAATTGGTGGAAAACTCTGAAAGACATTCCCTTTAGAAACCTATTCTTACACCTTCCTCAGCTCCCAGAGGTGGTGTTTCTCTTCTCTTGAGTCTGCAAGTATTACATTAAAAAGCCCACACCAAACACATCTGTGTCCCTCCACTTGCTGCTCCGAATCACATCAGTAGCCAAAACCACCATATTTGCTCTCCCTCTAGTGAGAGAAAAAGTAAACACATGGATTTCCCTGTCTCCCAAATGGGAGAGCAGATGGTGGGAATTTACATTCACACATCCTAGGATGGAAGAACAGTAAAAGTATTGCAGACAATGAAAAAAAACGGAAAAACATTCTATGAGGGAATGAAAGTCTTCCAACAGGCATCCGTCTGTATTATCAGAATATTACATGCTCAGTGCTGACATTTCCAACACTAGGTGCACAGTGTGGAATTCTCTGTACTGATTTAAATCTGTTAAATAGTATTAGTGGATATGTAAAACAATGACAAACTTGTATGAAATCTTGTTTTAACCACTGTACTTATTTTACCTTATTTCCTTTGACAAGCTGTTCACCTGGCTGTATGTGAGAGATTCTAAGATTATTTCTTGAGGAACCGGCGACAAAGCTATAGGCATCTACAATTAAAATGCAGAAGTTAACAGACAGAAAAAATACTTTCTTTAGTAAAAAAATACTGTTTACAAAATGTCTACATTAGATGTTAAACAAGATCATTTTGAGTTATATGCGCTACCCCCATTTTAAACATCACCCCATTCACTCCCCCAATTCTATTTATGAAACTTATGAAGTATTATCTTAGCTGAACTTCCTTTAAGTTGACACGTTCTCATACGTCATCTTAGCTCTGCAAATTCTAATGGGATAATAGCACTAGGTGTTATAATGAAATTAGTGCTGTGTGTTTTCTCGGTATTTCCCATGAATTAGGAACATTATAATGCTCCTGAACACCAAATACATCATAGGTGAGAAATTCTGGGTGGAACAAACATATAACTCACTGTTTCAAGCAATCCATTTGTTTTAGGAAAGAGAATCTCAGAAGGTTTAACAGCTTGGACATGGCAAGTGGAATTATCAGGTTTCGGTCCATTTTCTTTAGATTCATTATCTAAACTAATAGCACCATTTAGCGAATCATTTTTTGGCAGCTCGTGCTGGGATCTTTCTTCAGCATTCTGACAGGAAGAATGGGAATTCTGCAATGTATGGACCACCTTTCCCATCAAAAGTCCATTAGAAGAGACTATGTTGCAATTCCTTTTAAACAAGCCCTTCGACTCCTCAGATTTTCCTGAATATTCTGCACTGTAAGGGTCTGTGTTACTGGAGCTGAGTTTAGGATTTCCATTCACTGGTGGCTCAACAAAAATTTCATCTGGAACTTCCTGTCTGGAAACGTTAATAGCAACTGACACCGTTGATGTATTTGAGGTAGACGCTGCTGCAGAAGAATTTGTAATTGTGGACGAAGGAAGAGGCTTGCTTGGATCCTCATCTTCCGCAGCACTGCTAAGACAGTCAGGCTGTGATACAGTTTGACGTGCGGGCAATTTGTTATGAATACTGATAGTAATCTTCTGGGTTTTTGATGGATCAGTAGTTGAAGGCCTGGTAATTGCCCAGTTTCGAATACAAGCTGTTGGTGGAGCTGAAGAAGGCCTTTTTATGGTGACACCAGCGGTGTTCAGATCCTCTTTTAGTGGTCCACTTCCATTTAAACGGCTTGAATTCTGTATTTAAAAAGAAGAGATTGCAAGATGGATATATACAAGCACACAGCATTTGAAGTTTTGAAACACAAAATTCTCCTACAAAATATTTCTACAAATTGTCTCAACAGCCAAGAAGAAAAACCACCCCCCTTCAAATATAAATTAAGTCCAACACATGAGTTTAATTCCTGATTTTGGTTTACTGTATACTGGTATCAAATGAGCATCATTTTTGGAACCCACCCAAACAAC